CCACATGGCTCAGCAGACCTCTTCTGACCTTTCCACTGCGCCCCTCAGCAGTGTATTTCAGTACATCTGCCTGCTCTGCTCCCCACTCTGTCTCTAGTGAATCCTCTCACCCCCCTCTACCTCCGGCCTGTACCCCAGTTCTTGTATGCATAAATAAATAAATCTTTTTTTTTAATGTAAAGAAAAAAAATCATGCATCAGTTGAAAGGCCATTCTGGCCACTCAGTCCCTGGCCACCTTCCCAATCTGCCCTCCTTTGCTGCCCACCTGGTCCCAGTCTCAACATGCCCCAGCAAGATTCGTGCTCCTCCCTTGCACGCTATCCTACCTCCTCTGGTCCGTTCTCTGAAATGCAGAGAGATTAATGCCCAAAATGCAGGAACCTGCTCCCTCTCGCTGCCCTACTTAAAACCAGCCCCCTCAGTTTTCTAGATAAAAGCCAAGCTCTTGGAACTAATCCTGTAATGTCCTTCCCTTCAGCACCTCCTGCCAGCTTTCTGGTTCCCTTCATCCTAACCATGCAGTAGCAATCCCCCAGAGTCCCAGGAACCACCACCCTGAAGTTTCCCATTACGCCTTCTGCCTGGCGTGCCCGCAGCCTTTCCTCTCCTGCCTTATACTACAAGCCTCTGCTGAAGCAATTCCTGTTCTAGGAAGTCTGTCCTATTCCCCCTCACCACCCCACTGAATCACAGTGCTCTTAAGGCCCGCTGTGAGCATAAATCAGCCCTGAGTCTCCAGTCTCTGACTCTAGACCTTTTTCGTCATGCCTCATCCTCCTAGGAATCTGGATTGTCTTGAAGGGAGGGATTGTCTTTGTGTCTTCAGAGTACTGCATAAGCCTTAGCAGATGGTACATATGCAATAAATACTGTTTGCCGTTCGCGAGAATTGTTTAGTTTCCTTTTTTAGTGAAAATATGTGTGTACATGAAGTAAAGCTACCCTTTTGGTCCCACAGTTCTGATTTTTGATGATCGAGATATGGAACAGCTCCATCAACCGCACAAACCCTTCTTGCCAGCCTTTTGTAGCCAACCCTCCCCCTAACCCCAGTCACTTGCAAATAGTGGTCTCTTTTGTGTTCCCATAGTTTATAGGGGCTTTTTTTTTTCTTTTCCAGGATATCCTTTAAGTAGAATCATACCTATTTGTCCTTTGGCTACTTTCACTTCGTATAATGCACATGAGACTCATCCATGTTGCAGGTTTGCTCAGGTTTGTTCTTTTTCATTGCTGAGTACTATTCCATTATATGGCTGTATTACAGATTATCCATTCACTAGTTGAAGAACATTGCATTGTTTCCAGTTTTTGACAATTATGAATACAACCACTATTAATGTTCACATGCAGCTCTTCATGGGATTGTAATTTTCATTTCTTCTGGTAGTGGTAGTACTAAATCTTACAGTAAGTATGTTTACATTTGTAGGAAAACTGTTAAGCTGTTCTCCAGAGTTTCTGTACCAATTTGCTTTCCCACCAGCGGTATATGAGTGTTTCAGCTCCTCCACATCCTCACCGTCACTATTTACTGAAGAGACAGCAACTGGATTGCCTTACACCTTGTGGAAAATCAATTAACAGTGTGTGCAGGTCTGCATTCCTGATTCTGTTTTATTGATGTGGGTGTCTATTCGCTCACTGTCTTTGTGACTTGTAGCTTCATAGGACATCTCAAAATCAAGTAGTGGAGAACTCCAACTTTGTTCTTCCTTTTAAAAATGGGTTGGCTATATCCAGAGCCTTTCCTTTTCCAATGAATTTTGCAATGAGCTTGTCTAGGTCTACAAAAACTCCTGTAGAGATCTTGATTTGGTTTGTACCCCATCTGTCTTACATTTCCAGAGACTTAACACATTCACAATATTAAAACTTCCCATTCTGAACATAGTGCACCTCTCATTGGTTTAGCTTGTCTTTTTTTTTTTATGAAAATTTTGTTCTGAGAGGAAAATAGTCTTTCATCATTAAGTGTGATGTAAGTGTAGGGTTTTTGTAGATGTCCTGTTTAGATTAAGGAAAGTTTCTGAGTTTTTTTAAAATTATGAATGGATGTTGAACTCTCCCAAATGACTCCTCTACATCTATTAAAATAATTTAGCTGCAGCTCATAAATTTAGTTATTTGTGTTTCCATTTTCATTTAAGTCATGATATTTTCCGATTTTCCTTTTGGCCCTTTTAGGTATGTGTTGCTCAATTTCTTAGTGCTTGCAAATTTTCCAGATCCTATTAAACTTCTCATTTTGGGCAGAAATTGTGATGATAGAAACATTTTTTAATGATTCAAATGTGTTTATACTTTTGTAGGACCAGAAAGTGGGCTTTCTTGTGAATGTTCTGTGTGCTTTTGAAAAGTATGCCTATTTTATTGATTTGAGGTGAAATGTTTTCTTAATGTCAGCTATGGCAAGTTAACTGACAGTGTTACTTATGTCCTTATGAATGCTCTGTGTTCTTGCTCAACTGATCACTGAGAGAGGAATGCTGTGACTTGTATGTTTCTCCTTTCAGTTCTATCCAGTTTAGCTTCACATATTTTGAACACTAGTACTAAATACATATACATTTAGGATTGTTACATCTTCTTGCTAAGTTGCCATGTTTAATATTTGTATCATGTTTCTCTTTACTGCTGGTAACATTCCTTGTTCTGAAGTCTATTTTGTTTTAATTGTTTAGACCTTTTACATTTAATATACTTTTGGATTTGCTTGGATTTAGGATGTACGTCCACCATTTTTATTTTTCTGTGTCGTCTCTGTTTTTCTTCTGTTCCAACTTTCCTGCCTTCCATTGGAATATTTGGATACTTCTCACTATGTTATCTTAATATATCTGTATTTTAGGATCTATTTAGTTGTCACCTTAGGAATATATATATGCCATTACGGTTATATATGCTTAGGGTGTATATTATAGCACTTCAAGTGTAAAATAGAAGCCTCTCTTTAACTCCTCCCACTGACTTTTACCTGACAGTTGTCAAGTATATTTCAACTATAACCTTCATAATCCTATAAATGTTATAATTTTTCCTTTCAATAGTCTGATAGACTTTAAAGAACTTAAGAGGACATATGTAACCTTTTATTGTTGCTCAATTAGCTTTTATGTTTGCCCCTGAGGCACTATTAATTTTTCAATCTTTACCCTTCTCTTTTTCAGATTGAATAATTTCTATTGCCCTATCTTCAAGTTCATTGACTTTTTCTTCTGTCACCTCCATATTACTATTACTAAAGAAAGCCAGTGATTTTTAAAATCTTAGATATTAAATTTTTGGTTCTGAAAGTTCTATTTGGCTTATGTTATAATTTCTGTGTCTCTGCTGAAAACAACTGTCTTTCCATCCACTTCAAGTTATAATACCCACTTCAAAGTTTTTTCTAATAATACCAATATCTCAATCATCTTTTTTTTTTAATCATCTTAAATTGGCAATGTTGATGGTATTTATCCTTGAAACTTAATTATGTCTTTCTGGCTCTTTGTATGTTGACTGGTTTTAAATTGTATCCTGGACGTTGTGAATATTATATTGTATAAATATTATACCATGCCCTGGTAAAATTCTCTATAAAACAATTTTGTTTTATAGACAATCAACCAATTTAGCTACTATCTTACCTTCTGTGTGTGTGTGTGTGTGTGTGTGTGTGTGATCTCAATACAAAATCACAAAAAAAAAGAAAACAAAGGGAAATTCATCCCCTGGTAGATGACTTCAGTTTTTTCCTCTCTTGTATCATCTGCCTGCTTGTATTTAATTTTCAGGATCATTAGCTAGTTGTAGTTTTGTATTTTTCCCCCCAGATTTTTATGTAATCAGTAGGAGAGATAAGCTGTAGTGGGTTTACTCTGTCTTGGGCAGTATTTGAAATTCCTAATCAGTTTATTTTTTATCCTTGGAGTTTTAAAAGCTCAGAGAAATGCAGTCTGAAAGCACCATGAAGACAGTGGCAGCAAGAGGAACACTCACAGCCAAGAGGCAACAACCAACCTCTCTTTAGCGTCTCGTTTAGATGTCAGGGTACGCCTTCAAATATGTGGGATCCGAATAGGATTATTTCTATGTCTTACATGAAATGACTGAAGAAGAGCCAGTGGCTTACCTTTAGGCTCCGGGCCTAACCCCGACCTTCTCCTGCTCATATTTCAGGTCACTGACCACTGCAAACTGCATTTCCCAAGATTCTTTGAAAATTAGCTTTTAATCATCTCCTGCCAATAGGAGTGTTTTCCTCTTGCAACATATTAATAACCAGTGCCTAGGGTTAAATTCCTGCTACTGATATACTGATTTAGGCTCTATTATCTGGACTTGGGTGGGTCCATTCCATGTGGGAGGGGAGTTGAACAAGAGTTGAATGAAGACTCGAATTCAAATGTCATTGTCCTCCCACTTCCCTTCTCGGGCTGGGTCCACAGGAGGAAACACACCACGTTCTGGTCAACCAGAAGGGTCACACTCTGACCCAGGTTGCATGTTGTGTTACAGGAAGATAAAAAAAAAAAATGTTTTTCATATACAATCAGTTTTCTAGAAAGCTCATCTTAACATTGGCGCCTGTCTTCCTTTTGTGTTAACACAGAACATGGTCTGTTAGAACTTGGCTTCTTTTCACCATGCCCATGTATTTTGTTGGAACTGGTAGTGGGTAACTGAATCACTTCAGGAGGCTCTGAAGAGTGGGCAGGGCCGGGGCTGGGCAGAACTTCAGCTGACGAGGTCAGTGGTGCCAGAGACAGAAGGGCTGGCCTCACCCAGGAGCCACCTGGGGGTCATCAGATGTTTGGGCCCCTTCCCCAGGGCCCTAGGCCGATAAGCAGCAGAGAAGGAAGTAGAAAGGTTCTTGACAGCCTCCTGGGGAGGGACAAGGAAATCACCTGGCTCAAACTAGCTCTTGGCCTCCAGTCCAGGGCCACTGAGTTCAGCTCTTCCTGATCTCTGCTCTGCCATGAACTTGTGACACAGAAACAAAAACGCAGTCAGTACCTGTGACAAAAGACCTTTATTGTCTTTTTATTTATGGTTCTTTTGTTCATTTGTCCTGTTAGAGTTGAATAAACTGTAATAACTTATCTGACATAATAAGGAATGCCACAGGAAAAACAGATAAACAGATTCTAGGTGACCCAAGAATGAGGGTGTCACAAAGTAACCACTTAACAGAAGAGCCACAGACCTGGAGACCTGTCCCAGCCACCTGCCTCTCCCCAATCCCAGGATGCACCAGAGGCCATCCTTGGGCTGAACACTGCTCCCACTCAGAGGGAGAGGCAGAACAGTGGGTGAGGTGCCCCAGGAACCTGGGGGCTCCCACACACTCATTCCCCGGGGGGCTCTCTGTGGCCCCTGCCCCACCCCCACCTGATGAGGCCCCTCCCTGTCATTTACCTCTCCTGTGAGCTGCCGTAACCCCTGTGAGGTGGCACAGCCTGGCATTTGTCTCATCAGACACCTGGGGAAAGTGAGGTCAGTAGGGTTCCCCCAGGGAACACTCGACCGGACGTAGAATACCAGTTGGAACTTTCTCCCATGCCACACGGCATGCTGTGCCCTGAGCCTCAGCTGGTCATCTAGAATGCCCTGATGGTTTGGGAGGGGAGGTGCTAGGCAAGGTTCTGTGCCAAGGTCTGGTCGAGGTCTCTCCAAAGTGCCTACCCCTCAGTCAACCCTGTGAGGAGCCCCAGCAGAGGGACAAGTTGGCAGGGAGAGAATGTGGGGAACTGCATTGGGGGACCCTTTCTCTCTGGGCACCCACATGTTGCCCGCATACTTGGCTGCCACAAGGTGGGAATGGAATCCCATCAGAATCGCCCAAGCAACTTGCTGCCTAGGTGTCTGGAGGGGATGGGATTGGAGCCATAAAGTCCTCCTCCTTGTTTCTTTCATGAAATCTGGACGTGTGTCTGGCTGTACTTATGTAAAAAACCTCATTGCACATCACACTGCCCCTCTGTTATCCCTTGGGCATGGGCAGGGACGAGGGGTGTCATCCTGGAGTGCCTGTACATCCTGGGTGGGGCTGAGCCTCCTTGCTCCACGTTCCCCCACACTGCATGGGCCACTCAGGGTCAAGACTCATCCTCACTGAGCACCAGACTCCTGCCCAAATCAAACCCAGGCCAGAGTTTCAGGGTGTGTGGGCTACAAAACCATTGAGTGATAGTATGTGTGTGTGTGTGCACGCGCGCATGAATGAGCAAGTGCTTGGGCTTGGGTCTCTGACCCAAGTTCCAATACAAAGGTACTTTGTATTGCAATGCTGGAGCCATTCCAACATGAAAAGCAAGATTAGAACCTGTGCTTGCTGGTCTAAGATCAAACCTCAGAATAGTGGTTTGAAGACATTATTCAAGAGAAAGTTTGGAGGTAATACCCCAATAGTTGAGACAGATAAAAGCAGAGTCGTTCTGGTAGAAGTGGGAATAGGGGGGAAGGCTGGAGACAGCCTTTGCTTCACCCCTATCTCCCCACCTTACTGTCCCCTGACACAGTTCTGTGGAACCCTTGGGGTTCCACAGCACCTTGTTTGAAAACCAGTTTTAGCACATCTGCAGATCTGGGGTCCTGGGAACCTGTGCTTTGACTTCCCTTTCGGGGTGAAGATTTGGGAGAGAGTGATAAGGGGAGGATGCTTCCCCTTCAACTGGCCTCTCTTTGAGTTGCTGTGAAGCCACTGTGCAGTAATCATGCAGAGAGGGCAGAGGTGGGGCACCTGCCCCATAGGTAGGCTATTTCAGTCCTGGAGGGAGGGCAGTTATGGACCTCCTGGGGCCAGGATGGCAAAACACTGGCCCAATGCAGGCTTATGTATAGTGGGTGGAAGGGGGAGTCTGGTTTGGTCCTTGTTGACTTTAAAAAGAAAAACATCAGAACAGCTATAGGCCTAAGTCCATGAAATCCTATAAAAGTTCAAGAAGAGAGGGGCCTAGTGCCTTCCTCTGGGATGGGTGGAGAATGTCCACTCTCCAGTTGCTGGCAGGACAGAAGCTGCCTTTGTGGATTGCTGAAGCCATTGGGGGTGTGCCAGTGGGGCTCAGCTCCGAGGGTAAGAAAGAGGGCTGAGGCCTCCCTGCCCCGACCCCTTGTAAATGTTACCAGGAGGCAAAGGCAACAGCTTCTTCTCCTGGAGCGGCCCTTTGGCTCCGAAGGGAAGGGGCAAGCAATCGCTGTACCACCTCTCCTTCAGGCTCTCTGCTGCAGGAGGGGTGGCTTCAGAGCCCCTGGTCTGAGGGCTCGCCCTAGCCAGGGATCAGAGCCAAAGCTGCTTGGCCTGAGGGGTCCGAGAGATGGGAGTGTGGGGGCCAGTCCTAGTTGGGTGCAGAATGCCACCTCCACAGCCATGACACCACCCACGTCCTGTTCCCCATCTGTCCTGGGTGCTGGACATGCCCTGGGCATGGCATTCCTGAAGAACGTCTGCATTTCCCTCTCCGCCAGCCCTCCAAAGCCTAATTGGCTGCATCTCATTCTGGCTGGCATGTGATGAGGAGGGCAAGACCTCGAGACTGGTGGAAGAAGGGCTGAGCTCCAGCGAACATCCTGCGTGAACTTGGGCAGCTTCCCTGCACGTGCAGGACCACTGAGACCCAGCTCTGCCCCTGACTTTCATCTCACCTGGCCTCAGAGCCTCCAGGCATGAGGGAAGTCCTGACTGGTGTACCTGAGGGCCCAGCCCTGAGGTTGAGTGACTTGCTCAGGGGGAGCGGTGGGCTGCCTCTCACTGCGCCAGGTTGGAATCAGCTCGGCAGCAACCACCACCCCAGATGAACCAACACACCTGCCCGGGATTGAGGCTGAGGTGGCCCGTGAACTCCAGCAAAGCCCAGGCCTGATCTTCAAGGGAACTTTTCTCACTTGGACTGGAGAGCTGAGAGGATTTAGACGGTCCTCTGCCTGGCAGATGTTTTCTGTTCTTCCTTCCTGCCCAGACTGCTATCTGCATGCTGCATGCACAGCCCACTGGAAAGCCCCAGGATGGAGCTGCATGGTCAGCACGGGCCCCCAGTGTGTGTGGACTCAATACATGGGCTGGGGCCTGGCGCCAGTGGTGCGCCCCCATGCCAGGTTCACTCCAAGTCCCACCTGACTCCACATGGAGAGGCGCTCTGCGTGTTTGGGGGCTGCAGGTGGCATGGGGTCTGGAGCCAACCAGAGCTTGGGAAGATGCTCAGGCCTTCCTCTCAGGAAGAGCCTCAGGAAGCGCTTGGGTCTGAGAGGCCCAGTGTGTTGCAGCCACGCTGTGCAGAAGAGCACTCGGCCCAAAGGGGGGCTAGACTGCAGCCTCTGTGCCCCTTACCCCACTGCGATGTCATGTGGGCTGGATCCTCCCAGAAGGGGGCGCTGTTCGGATTCACATCAAGGCACAATGTGGAGAAGCAGATGGAGGCCTGAAAGCACAGCCCCATTCTACTCCTCCCTATAACTTTTTCCTGGCCACCAACTTCCCCAGACAGGGGCTGGGATGGACCAATTCTGTGTCTCCTGAGCTTGGCACCCAGCAGAAAAGTTGACAGTCAAGGATGGTCAACCCAAATTCCAATGAACTTGACTACTGCCCTTCTGGGGTCCTGTGTTCAAACAGTAAAAAGCCAGGTGGGACTGTGAAGCTTCCTGAAGCTGAAGAAATTCCAGTTCCACACTGGGATAAACCCAAAAGGGTGAGTGTGATGTTGAGGTGGAAACCAGCCACGCTGGAAACCAGCCTCACATTTCCAGTGTGCATGGGTTGGGGTAAGGGAAGAGGTTTTGGGGGGGAGGGACAATCACCCCAATTCCTAAAAGGTCTTGTATCCGCCCCAAAGTTTTCAGAGGAAGACACCAGAGAGCACACTTGCCAGGCATTGTTCCAGCACCTCCTCAACTCTGTAGCTGTCCAATGAGGAGTAAACTCCCCAGCAAGCTCTAGGTGCTTGACCGGATGCCCAGGACACCCGCAGCGAGGACCCCAGGGCTGGCCAGGAGAGCATGGGTGCCCTGAGTTGACCTTGGATTGTGGTGTTAGGGTAAGTCTTCATGAAATCCAGAAGGGGAAGAGTGGGGAGCAGTACCCCCAGGCACAGGAACCCAGTGCTTCACCATGGAAATGGCAGCACAGTCTACCCCAGGAGTTTGACTGAAATAACCTGTGTAATAACGTTTTGTTACCTACCTGTCCAGGCACAGATACAGGGGAGCAGGAATAGAGGAGTGGCTTCCCTGCCCTGCTAACCCATATATTTGCATGGGTACAAGGTAAACCCCAGGAGGTCTGTTTCTACGGGGGGAGGGGGGAGGGCTATGAAATACACCGGCCCTGTCACAGCCCTCCTTCCCCTCCAAGACAGTAAATCCAAGCTCTTTTTCTGTAATACCCAGATGCTAGGGTTGAGCAGCTCATGGTAGCTGTGCCATAACTTGACATCTGGTGACCCCGCCAGGGTCCCAAGACAGATGCTCCCCAGGCCTGGGTGGGGGACTAGGAGCACTCCAAGACTCTGCCTCCTTTGATGTCCGGCGAACCTTCTCTGGAGACACAGATCAAACCTTTGGCTTGACCCACTAGACCAGAAGCTCTAATGTTGTTCACAGACTCTTGGAGCCCAGAACTGGGAGGGTGTTTTGTGATCATCTGGTCAAGCAACTGGCTTTCTAAGTGAAGAACTGAGGCCCTGGGAGAGAAAGGATCAGGGTCACACAGTGAATCAGCATCAACACTTTGTGTCTCATCTGCAGTCCTGTCGCCCTGGAAACACCCTGAGTCCCAATCACATCAACAGCAGCCAATGGGCACTGGAAACTTATGCAGCTCTTCAAGTCCACCTGGAAATACAGGGTTTCCTTGCTACTCAGCTGCCCCTTTCTGCTCGAGTGAGGACATCTTGATGGACTCTGTCTTCTGGCAAGGACCCCCTTTGTGGGGTCTTCTGTGCTGTCTCTCAGCCTGCAGGGCCAGCCCAGGCAAGTCCTGGTGCTCATTCTATCCAGACTTGATATTCTCTCCCTCTCTTCTTCTCTCCACGTTTACACATAGGACACAACACATGAGTTAGTGGGTAGCTAGGATGTTACCACCTGATGAAACTGAAATAGCCTTGAGCTAGTTCACACCCAGCTTGCCTTAAACTGGAAACTACCGGTAAACTGTTACTTTTCTCCACTACGAGGCTTATGAACCTTCACCAGTATCACTATCAGACACAGAGAGAATGGGACAGCAGTGGGAGTAACAGGGGAGAGGTGTTTGTTCGGTGGTTCCAAACTGCAAAAAGGTAGACTCTGTCCAGCGCTGCCCCTCCCAGCCAGAAGGGGGCGCCTTTCAACGTGGTCCTCTTTTAGCTGCCAGAACCCTCAACCCCCAGGGAATGTGCACATCTTCTCAAGTGGCTGGATACTTCCTTCCCACCTCTCCAAGCCCTCGATCCCCATCCTCCCCTCTCTGCTGCCCAGAACTGAGGTGGCCTTTCTGGGGGTCAGCATGAGAGAGGGAGTAGGACAGAGGGGTGACTGCAGTGAGGGGGTGAAGGAGGTATGGGCGGCCCTGTCGGCATGGTAACGTGGGAGCCAATCCTGAGGCCAGAGGTTCATCACCATGACCTGGAAGACCATGAGGGCCCCCTGGTAGAAACTGGACAAAGGGGAGGGGAGCCAGAATAGGAAGGAGACGAATAAGCATCCTAGTGCGTGAGAGTGGACCAGGAGCTGCCCAGGAGGAGGGCTGGCCCCAGTCTATCTGTCATTGAGCTGTGGAGAGCCGGTACCATCCTCCTCCTCCTCTTTGTCATCCTTCACGCCTTTCAGTCTCTGGCGGGCAAAGTCCTCAAACACAATGTCATCATCACTGGTGGGAGAAACAAGGAAAACAGGGTGTTGGCAGACCAGGAGGCGCACGCTTCTTCAGGAGTCAGCAGGCCGGTCAGTCAGGTGGGGCTCAGAGGCTGGTTCTTGGGGCTACCCTTGGGCTGGAAGCCTGCCAGGCTGGTACATCTGGATGTGGCAGTGAGGATGGTCACATCTGGACTCCAACCAGATGTGAAAATACCAGAGGGGGGGGCATGAGTTTGACTTTCATGCCTAAGGGCTGGGAAGTGGCCCTGTTCTTGAGGAACATAAAATGAAGGGAGCACCGTGGGTGGCTCTGAGGTTGGGGTGGGGTGAGAGGAAAAGCTTGTTCTCACTGTGGGAGGGCGGTCAGCCACTAGGAGTTTCCCAGCAGTTTCTAAACCCCTCCAAGAAATCCACAGGGGTCCACGGGAGACAAGCCCTGTCCACCCAACCCAAAAATGACCCTCAGGAAGCTTCTGCACACCAAGGAGTGGGCCTAGTTACTGAAGAGGAAACCTCTAAGCCCTCTGTCTCTGTCTGCAGGGAAGTAAGTGTCAGTTAACATTCTACCCTGAGGGAGCTTACTTTGGAGGAGTTGGTGGAGACAGGGAAGGGAAGGGGGACGTGGGGGGAGGGGATGGGGAGCCTGGGGGATGGGGAGTGAGGTTTCAGGACTCAGGACTGCCATCTAGGAACAGTGAGTGCCACCCCTGCTACCATAAAACACGCCCACTTAGGCCCACTAATTTTGTCCCACAGAATTCAGCCAGCCATGTGGGGTTTCCTTATGGGGGGACTTGGGACCTCATTTCTAGAGATCTCCTGAGGGCACAAGGGAAGGCTGGATTTAGAACTGAAAGGGAAAGCTGCTTGGCCTTGGAAGTGGTTCCTGACGCAGGCCTGGTCCTCCCACTCTGGCCGCTGTCCCACGACAGATGGCCTTTGACCACAGGGAACTCCACACGGGTCTGCAGGAGTCAAAAAGATCCCCCACAACCTTCCCCCCCACACACACATACAGATCAATTCCACTGGTTGGGCCTGGGCTGGGCAGGTGAGCCCCAGCCCAGGACCACAGAACCAGCCCTGTGAGAGCCAAGCAGGACCTGTGGGTGGACGAACAGATGTGCAAGGATGAGGGAGGAAGACAGACCCCACCAAGGCAGGAGGAAGAGGAACAGGCACGGAGGGTCCTTCAAGTCACATGCAGGCAAGCGGGCTGCTGCAGAGGTGAGCAGAGGCAGGTCTCAGCAGATGGGGTTATACCAGCTGCTCCTCAAGGGTACCTCTATTCAAGTACCCCTGTCCCCCCAACCACCCTCTCCCCCAACCCAGACATCTGCAGGCAGGGTTTGGCTTACTTTGTGTCGAGTTCTATGAGATTGGTATCTACTGGAGTCTCGTTGTTCTCTGGAACTAAGCACAGGGTGAGCAGAGGCCCACTGGTTAGTGGGTGGCACAGGGCCCCACCGGAGGCAATCAAGCAAAACGGAGAGGGCAAAGGAAGAAGGGGTGGGAAGGGGGCTTGCTCCCTCTCTTAGAAATATTTCAAACCATCTTAAAGGCAGGGAGAAGGGTTCAGAGACATCCAGGGGACCCAGGCCACCCCAGGTGAACAGAAAGCCCTCTGGGCCCTGCTCCTTCAAGCACGTCTCTGACATGACTGAAAGTAGCACACTCTATTTTCACTAAGTCTCAGAAAACTAGCTTCACATTTTCACATGTCTGAACTTGGGGTATGTTTTACAACTAATGATGTTTCTGGCTAATAGTGAGAACATTTGTCTTTCTTTGTGGTACATATGATAATATCTCCTCTGACCAAAACAATCTTAGGCTTAATGAACAATCACCAATCTGGTATCAGGTGGAAAAATAATAAGGAGGTTGTGTCTAGGACCCACCTTATTCATGCACCCCCTTCCCTTGCGAGACAAGAGGTCTCCCTCCATTCCCAAATGCCCCCGCCCCTCCATGAAGAAGAGTGGCAGAGATGTCTCCTGGCTGTGGTGGTCGTGGGGGTCAGATGTAAATAGGAGTGTGAGCCTCGCAGATGACCCTGAGGAGTTGGGGGGAGGGATGCCCGTGGGCTGAAGACTAACCCAGAGGGAGTTGGGGTGAGGAGGAAACATGGTATCTGATGGAAAAGGAGATCAACTATTTGGAAACAGCCCCACAGCTTCTGCTCACCTTCTCGATGTGGGGGTTCCTCTTTGGGCTTGGGGTGCATTAGGGTGAAGGGCAGTTCCACAGCCACATCACTGAAACAGAGACCCACACCAGATGAGCCTCAAGCCCAAACTCAGGCTGTGAGGCTCAGGCCTATGGGGTTGAAGCCCCGGGAGGGTTTTGCAGGCAGAAGGGGAAGTCTGGCCTTGTGCCCAGTTCCACCACTCTGAGCCTTTGTCTTTCTAGCAGGGGCACAGGAGACCCTTCTCCAGACTCCAAAAGGAAAGGGAATCCCCCCTTTCCTGAAAGGGATCTCTGAACCCCAATGAGAGGGGAAGAGGAGGAAGGAGGGCCCAGGGCAGTGTACACCTTGGTCACTGTGGCTCCAGAGATGTCCTGGGACAAGGACCCTGCCCATCTTCCTAGCTGAAGTGCCCCCCACACACACACAGCACAACTTTACTCCATCCCATCTCCCCACTCTCCCTCTCCAGGCAACTCTGGTGAAAGTACTTGGGCCCCCCAACCCTCTGCCATCTGAACAATGACCTGAGAACATCATATCACCAAACTCAAGTGGGATGAGACCCAACCCAGGCTGTCTCTATTGTGCATAAAACCTTGAATCTAGGTAGGGGCAGAGGATGGGCATGAGAGGGAAGATCAAGGAAGGTGCCACCAGTCAGGGCTTCTGACTGGGCCATCCCTCCCCTGGCCCCTGACTGACTCAGGGTGGTTCTATGGTGCTGACTATGCCAAGGACTATTTCAGAGAAATTTGTGATTTCCACATCAGTCCCATTGCTATACTCGTTGACCAGATTGAAGGAATGAGGTACCAGGAGAAAAAGCCACACAGTTACTATGGGCCCCTCAAGCCCCGATGGGACAGACCAAGGATTCTGACACCCTTAGCTGCTGTGTGATGGCCACTGAGCTCTGCTCTTCACCTCACCGAGGAGCCTGCTCCTCTCAGCTTGGGGTAGCGTCACTCTAGGAGCTCAGCTAACTGTGGCACCTCCAGACACAGGCTTGTTAGGGGGAAAGGATGTCTTGACCAAATTCTACAAATACAGGTTTTGTGGACTCCACCCCCAATTCCAGTCACTGAAACTACAACTCCCAGCAACACCAAACGGAGGACTGCGAGGACCCAAGGGTGGAGCTAAGCAGCCATCCTGAGACTTTTGGGATATATGCACAGGAACCATGTTGAGCTGGGGCTCTCTCTCTCCCCTGGCCTCGTGGCTGGTGGCTGGTCACTTGGCTCTTGATCAGCTTTTAGTGAGTTATTGGAGCTCCAAGTCAGTGGAACTGGTAGGATGCATTAGCTAACCTGTATCTCTCTCTCTCTCTTTCTCTCCTTCTCTCTCTTTTTCCCTGAGTTGTTTCTTTTTCTTTCCTCTTGTAAATAAGCCCATTATTGACCTTTTTGTGTATCTTCAGTACAGTTGAATCTTAAGTGTGTGGGTGAGGACCCACAGACAGGCACCCAGTTCACATTGGGGTGCCCTGGAACAGGCTCACTTTACCAACCCTCCCACCAGGGCCCAGTGGGGTGGAGGACCGGCAGGGGCACAGGCTGTACAACTAGGTCTGTCTCAGCCAGCCCCCCCACACCCCGGCATTGGCAGTACCCTACATCTCCCAATCTCACTGAGCTCCCTGGAAAGTGGGGGCATTGGCTCCTGCCTCCACTTCTGGGAGATGATGTAGATGACTGTTACACTGTGAAGCCTATATCATCCAGAATCAGTACTTCCCTGTGGTAGACATGTGGTGGTTTCATAAAGCTGTGGAAACTATTTGGCTATATTTTTTCTTTTTTCTTCCAAAGGGCATTGCTTTTCCAATGTTCCCTTGGAAGTGGGAGTTCTCAAATGGACGTCAATAGAAGACTGAGTTTACCAGCCTTCAGTAAAGCTCTACATGATGTAGAGGGGCCCGAACATTCCCCAGGCCATGACCATTAAGGGCAGCAGCCATCTGAGTCCTCTCGGGATAACACGCTGCCTATGTTTGGGCTCGGGACATTTTTACTGAGTTATATTGAAATGGGGTGAACTGGATGAATGTCACCTCTTGGGATGGACTACAATTTTTTGGATGACCCATCTGGTGGCAGAAGGCGGCAGGGGACAGGATATGTTTTGGAGAATGTGCACCTTTGGAATATATATGGATTCAATTTGGCTACAAGGGACTCTTGTCAAGTGGACCTCAGGACTTCTTAGCAACACTCAGCTCACAGTTAATTCTCACTAGTGTAGAAGTCTGAACACCACACCGCCTGCATTTCTCCAAAACCTTTTTGAAATTCAGACAGATTGGGGCTCTTCTCCAGATCAATGTAGGCCTTACTGTCTACAAAGGCCCTGGCTCTTGGGTGGGATGGTAGACTAGGGCAAGGTTTTTAAAGGAGAAACTGCATCTGGCTAGGCCTTCTGGAGAGAGTTCTAGTCCCAGCACAAGTCTGAACCCAGCGATCAAAAACAACCACGAAGATTCCTTCCAACCCAGTGCCCTGTGGCCCCAGTTGGTCAGGCTAATGGTCTCTGGGCCCTCCAGGAAGGTGGGTGGGTCAAGTAGAAGGGGGGGACTTTACCTGGATGCAAGATCTCCCAGCAGGCTGGGTGGCGGGAGGGTGGTCAGGAGAGAGTTCAGAGAGGAAGAAAACAGAAAGCATGTTCATTCACCACCTCTGCTGTACATTGCGGGTAGAGAAGTCCCATGGAACATTCTCCCACCCCCCCCCACAGCTGCAACTGCTCACTCAGGGATACAAATATAGGCATGACCCTGGCCAGCAAAGAACTGAGAGCCAGGCCTGGCTCAGCCAACACCTCAATAGGCCTCACAGGGTCCAGGACTCTCTTTGTAAAAGTGACACATAAATAAGGTCCTGGGCCCTCCCTGGTGGTGCGATG